CGGCGGGCAGGTGCACGCGCCACCTCCCGCCATCGGGTCCCCCGCGCGCCCGGGGTGGGGGTGGGGTGGGGGATCCGAGGACCGGCTGCGAGCACGGCGCCTCGCGGCTCTGCATCCCTCGCTCCCCTCCCCACCCCGCCCTGTGATTGACAGGCAAGATGTCGGTGTGGAGCCAGGCAGGAGCGATCGCAGCAGCCGTCACCCCCGGAGCACGGCGGCGGCAGCAGCGGCGACAGCAGCGGCGGCGGCAGCAACAGCAGCAGCAGCGGCGGCGGCAGCAGCAGCGTTCTCGAGGGGAGGAGACAGCAGCCAGCCGCAGTGGCAGCCGCAGCCGCGCCAGCCGTGCGCACGGCATCCTGCGAACGCGCTGAGCGCTGGGACCCGAGGACCATGCCCTGTCACTGCGACCTGGAGGGGGGCAGACGCGCTCCTTTTTGACATAAAAACCAGCCAGCCAAATATATTTATACACATATTATTCCGTCCTTCACGAAGCCGGGTGTGCGAAGAGTGAGCTCTATTCTCCTCTGCCTCCTCCTTTCCCTCCTCCTCCTCTCCCTCCTCCTCCTCGTCCTCCTCCTCTTTCTCCTTCTCCTCCTCTCTAAGTGTACAGACTGCATCCTACCACCTGGCTGGCTTCTGCATCTCTCCCTTTTCAGGGACCAGAGACTCAGAAAGAGAGAGAAGGAGAGAGACGGGACATTCTAATGAAGACTGCCTCATAACACTCCCCCCCCGAAAAAAATCATAATAAATTTTGGCTCTTGTCCCCTCCTCCCACCCCCACCGCCTCAACCCTGTGTGGGATGTTGGGTTTCTTCATGAGACATTGTTGAGAAGTCTCAGTGGTTGGAGAGGCGTAGGGGGGTGGACTCCCTCTACCTCTACTCCCTCCCTCCCCCCTTTTTTCTCTCTGGGAGGAGGAGGAGGAGGGGAAGGGGGGGTTGCAGAACAAGCGATGGATGAGGAAGACATGACGAAAAGCGAGGAACAGCAGCCTCTGAGTTTGCAAAAAGCCTTACAGCAGTGTGAGCTGGTCCAGAACATGATTGAGTTGAGCATCTCTAATCTGGAAGGGCTTAGGACCAAGTGTGCTACTTCCAACGACCTCACACAGAAAGAGATCAGGACCCTGGAGGTAGGTGTTGCCCTGGGGGGGGAGGGGGCAATCCTTCCTTCCTTTCCCTTCTCCCCATCCCCTTCCCTTTGGGATTCTCTTTGGGGGTCGGGGAGGGAAATGGGTAAACCAGGTGGGCACAAATGATGCGGTGTGATTTATCTCGCAAAGCCAGAGTGGATGTCTTTTTCCAGTGCCGCTGTTCCCTGTGCTTGGCTGGGCGGCCGTAGCAGTAGTAATTGTTATTCTTTATTATTACGGTTTGGCTCTTATCACGATTATTTGTTTCCTCTCAGTGGAAGGAGTTCTTTATTTTTCTTTATTATTATGATGATGATGCTTAGGGATTTGTTTGTATGCCACAGGGGCTTGTGTGCTGGGTAACACGTTAAGGAGCTGCAGGGAACCCACGTGACCTTGCGCGCATTCTGCAGGTGGTCAAAAGGTGGTTTTTGCTGGCAGGATGGGGCTGACTGGATGGAGAGACTGTACCTTTTTGCTCTGTAGCTCCCCCCCCCCACTTGGTGATATACACCTTAGGAAAAAAATGTCCAGAGAGGTACCCATTTCCAAAGCAACCATTGGATGTAACCGGGCTGCTGCAGGCCTCAAATGTGTAAAAAGAGAAAATATACTATGTTTCCAGTAGATTGTGTGGGAAAGTCTTCTTGGTCTGCCTGTGGGGTTTTATGAAGAGGGGGTCCAGGAGAGTTACATCTCCCATACTGTACCAGTCTCTCCAGCCCAACTTGAGGGGAGTTCCAAGCAGTTTGTTAACCAGTGGTGGTGGTGGGGTGCTCATGGGGGAATGGCTACAAAGTTACTGCAAAGAAATGGCAGGAATTCTTTCTTTCAAAGGCCATTTGCTTAGAGAATGATTTCAGGATTTTGGAAAATGCCTGCTGTTCCTGAAATCTTTGGGCATCCACATTGTTCAAAACGTTAGAACGATCAACCCCTACACCTTTTTACTCTCAAAATGGCCCAGTTGTCCATATAGCTTGATTTAATTTAGGAACTCCCTGAAGCTGGCATTTGACATGGGGTGGTGGCAGTGGAGTGCAGAGCAAAGCAGGAGTGTGGGGTGCGAGGGGGGGAGTGGGGGGGAGTTTTCATTTTAGTGGATTGGTCTTGTACCACAGAGCTTGGAGGTTTTTCTGGTCTTAGGCTTGGCTTGTGAGTTTCTGAAGCCTGAATTCTTCAGTCTTGACTAACTGGATCACCTGCATGAAGATTCCTCCCAGATAAAGTTTTGCGCCTTTAAATTTTCCTCCATGGTTTTCAGTTTGGCCAGATGTCAGTATGGAGGAAGCCATCATTTTGAAAGAAAAGTTTGTGTGTATTTTTAAAAAAATTTATTTATCTATTTTTATTTTATGTATATAAGTGTTATGCCTGCATGTGTGTAAGTGCACCCATGCTATGCAGTGCCCACAGAGGAGAGAAAAGGGCGTTGGATTTCCTGGAACTGGAGTTACAGATGGTTGTTAGCCACCATGTGGGTGCTGGGATTCAAACCTGGGTCTTCTGTAAGAACAGCCTGTGTTCTTAACCGCTGAGCCATATCTCCAGCCCCATGTGTGTGTATTTTAATATGATGTTTGCCACCCTTGGATATATGCCTGTGTGCACCTGTCAGGTGGTAACAAGATCCCGGAATGAAACAAGATAAATGTCAAGGTGGGGAGTGGGACGTGTGTTGGGAGGCACAGGTAATGCCTTTCTCAGAGCTCCAAGAGAGAAGGCTTGGCTCATGTTTGGCTGCTGGAAGAAAAAGTGTGGGATGTGTTGGCCCAGCCCCTGTCTTTGCACAGGGTCCAGAGCAGATTCTGTTCAGAACTGTACATGGGAAAGTTTAAACAGATAATCCTTGAAGGCCACCCCAGGCCTTCTTTGTTCAGTAATGTTAGGAGTGTACCTCCCCAATCCCCCATGCCAGTTTGTATATCATAGCGTTTCTCTGGAGTTTTCTTCTGTTGTTTAAAAATTTTTTAAAGCATGCTTTATTGCTGATAACTAACTCCCTGGAGAGTGGTGATTGACACAGTGGGGCACTGGGTTTCCGGACTGGGGATGTAGCTCAGTGGTAGAGAGCTTGTCTAGTGTGCACAAAGCCCTGGGTTCCATTCTCAGTACTGTAAAAACAGACAGGCAGGCCGTGGGCACTGAGTTCTGTTGCTTCTTTCTGAAGGGTGCTTTTTCTTTGAAACTGGGGAGACAGAAGTACTGCCAGGAAGTTGGACTTACAGGGATACATCTTATTAAAAATCTGCTGCTCTGAGGATGTCACAGAGTATACCAGCCACTTTATCTATATTGCCCAGGGACTGGTCTAGAGCAATTATGCCAATTTAGACTTCTCAGATCTCTAGAGCCGGGGAGGGGCTGGTGACTCAGGGTCAAATCCTGCCAGACCTCACATTTGCATCCATAGAGCTTTCTGCTGTAGCAGCTATCAAATCTTATGCATAAAAGCCTCACAAGGGTGCTGCTTAAAATTCGGATTCTCAGCATCTAACAGCTGCATTTTCATTCTGATGGAAGTGGAGAGATGAATTAGAGATCTGCATTTAGTAAGCAAACCTTGTGTTTATGTGTATAATTTTTTTTGCGGTGTTGGAAATTGAACCCAAGGCCTTGTGAATGCTAGGCAAGGGCTCTACCATTGAACTATATCCCCAGCCCCCAGCCCTTGTGTTTCTGATGAAGGTTTTCATAGGGCTACTTTAAGAACTGCTAATCTAAGCTGGGTGTGGTGATGCACACCTGTAATCCTAGCACTTAGGATGGTGGGGCAGGAGGATGGAGAGTCCAAAGGCCAGCCTGGACTACATAATAAGACTGTGACTCAACTTAAAAATGAAAAGAGGGCTAGGGTTGTAGCTTAGTGGTAGACAACTTTCTTGATATATACAAGACCCTGGGTTCAGTCCCCAGTTCTACAAACAAAATAAACAGGCAAAAATAAAACAAAAAACCTAATGCTTTAGGACGTAGATGCTGTTTCAGCTGTTCAATGGTGAGGACACCCTGCTCACAAACACTGAAGTTAGTAAGAGATCGAATAGACCATCCAGAAGACACTGCTAATAATAAGCAGTAGTAACGTGTATATACTCCAAAAAGACAAAAGTATTCAACATGAACTTGGCTTTCACAAAGTATGCTTCATCGTTAGGGTAGAAAGGTGAACAATGTCACGGTGAAATAGTAATCAAGGTGAAGCCCTCAGTGCTTTGAAGACAGCAAAGAGTTCACTAGGAATTCATTTGGTTGTATGACTTGAGAAACTCAACAGTGAAGTACATGATGGCTTCCTTTTCTCAGCTAATAGAGTCTGCAGGTCTGGAGGTGCTTGGGTTGATTTAGTAGGTCAGTAAAAGTAGCACCTGTGTCTTTGGGAGTTCTAATGGTCTTTCTCTGATGGTTGCAAGATGGCTTCCATAGCTCCAACAGTCACATCTGCATCTATGGCAGGAAAGAGGAGGACCTGGTGAGTGTGGAGGGATGGGAAGTTCATAAATTTGACTTCAGGAGACAAAGACTTCCTGATAACCCTCCCCCTACCAATGATGTTCAGTTATGTCTTCTAGGCTAGAGCAGGGTCAAATGGCCTGTCCCAGCTGCAAGGGCCGTGGCAGGGGGAAATAGGAACACCATCATTTTCATTGTCAGAGATGCCCCATTGCCACACCACCCAAAGTCAAGATTCTATTAGCATGGGAAAATACTGATGGGTGATGGGTAGGCAACCAGTGACACTGGCCTCATCTTTTATTAGTAGGTATTACTAGTAATAGAAGGATGGGAACTTTTGATGGAAAAGAAAGTTCACAAGCTTTGGAGTTAGACTGGTGCAGGTTGCCTTTGTGGCTGTCGTACTTTATCTTGGTTATAAATTTAAATATTTTGACCCAAAGTGACAATTGTAGGATAATAATTCCTATGTCAGAGGGTGGTTGAAAGGATTGCCAAGGGTGACACTTTTAAAAACTTAACATTAACTTGAACAAAGTACCTGTGGATGCTCAACAGACCACAGATTGATTGCATTAATCACCATTCTCATTGCTGTGACTGCATGAGAAACTGCTTAAGGAGGGAAAGATTTATTTTGGCTCACCATTTAAGAAGGGATGCCATCCATCAAGATGGGAAAGTGTGGTGGCAGGAGCTTGAGGTAGCTGGTCATGTTCAGTTCACAGAAAGCAGGGAACAGACAGGAAGCGAGGCCAGTTTATGGAATCTCAATACCTGCCCCTAGTGACTCACTACCTCCAGCAAGGCTCCACCTCTAAAAGGTTCCACAGCCTTCTAAAACAGTACCATCTGTTGGGCTCAAAGTGTTGGAACACATGAGCCTGGGGGCGCATTTTCATTCAAACTGTTACAGTGATGGTGGTTAGCATGGGGTGGTGTGGGATAGGTGACAGGGGAATGCCTTGGAGCAGAGGGAAAGAAGAAGGAGTTTTCTGGTGTTTCCCAAGAACTCTAATTCTGTGGGATGCTAACCCTGTGCCAGAAGCTGGTATTCTGTGGACAAAGCAAACTCTATGGTTAGTGAGTTTAGGAACCTTTGCTCGAAGCAAAAGAGGGTTTAGGTATTTTTACTACAGGACTTCTCAGAGCCTTTTATGTGCCATCAATGAGCATTGTGGATCCAAGGGAGGACAGAGCTTGCAGTGTTTTCCTTTCCCAAGGATGTCTCTGGGGAAGGGGGATTGTTCTATAGAATCCACCCGGGGAAACATTTGGCCAGGCAGTGAGGAAAGCCTCTTGGTTGAGGAGATGGGGATTTGGAGTTGAATGAAGGGTGGGAAAGGTGAAGGCTGCAGCAAAAGGGGACATGCTGCTCTCTAGACAAGGATAGACTGGATGGAGGTTATGCTGCATGGTGACACTTAGGGACAGGTTTGCTCAGAATGGAGGACAGTTGATGGAAGGTCATGGGAGATGAATTTAAGCCATTGACTCCTAGGGTCTTAGCACAGGGGAGTCCCACCAACCAAATTTCATCTTTG